TAAGAATCCTTCTACCCTACCTGAACACTCCATTTTTCTATAAATAAAAATTTTAACAACTCATACAGTTTTCATCCTATTGAAATAAAGACTATTCTCATTTTGATAGTAAAAACATATAATAAGTTAATAATATAATAGAAGAAAACTACCATGATCCACCGTTGACCGGAGATTTATCCGTACGAAATAAACTAGGGGCCTTAAAAAAAGAATGCCTATCCGAAGAATATAGCTATTTCCGATATAAGAACCTGTCAAGCCAAAGATGAAACTTTGGCCAAGTATGTACGGAAGCTCCGGAGTGATAAACCAATTTACAGGCGCTAACACCAAGAATACAACTTTNAACCAATTTACAGGCGCTAACACCAAGAATACAACTTTCAAGATGGTATTTTGTTAAAATACCCGGTAAATAACGGAACAGACGGGAAGATTATCGTTGTTCCTTCGGATATGTCAGATCACCTACTGGAGGTATCATCACCGTGTTTCTGCAGGACATCCAGGGTGAAAAGAAACTTATCATAGCATTGATAATCGTATCTTCTGGGACAATATGAAAGAGTCGATACATCAATATATCGCAAGATTTCATACGTATGCTTGTGTTTAACCGCTGAACCAAAAGCAAGACGACCCGATGCGACCAAGAAAGCACCGCCGGAATTGGGAGTTTGTTAGTATTGATCTAATGGGGTCATATCCAATATCTCAACGCGATTGGAATTGCCTACTTGTAATATCATATCAAAGTATATAACATAACCTTTAAATTTATATAAATATATATGTATATAAAAGTGTCAGTATTTCTGGAAAACTTCCAAAAATTAAGTTGAAAAAGTTTTACTTTCTATATGCATTTTTATATTTTGAACCACCCCTGTATTAAGGGAAATGGTCCGATTTAAAAAAAAATATGACGAATGAAAGAAGTATATAAAAATTATTTCTCATAAAAAAATTGTATTGATCCATACGTCTTTCAAAAAGCATATAAATGTATGTAAATTTAAATACCTCATTAATCTATAAAAAAAATTATATTGATTTGGTCATTTTTAAAAAATTTATGGCAGTTTTAAGTAAAAAAAATTGAAAAAATTTCGAAAATTAGCAATTTTGAAAATTGTGATTTTTTGGAGATTTCCGCTATTTACGGGGATCAAGAGAAATTTTNTTTTTTGGAGATTTCCGCCATTTACGGGGATCAAGAGAAATTTATTCAATTTTGAGGGTAATATCATCAACTAGATACGATTTGTGATCTTTGACGTATCGTTGAAAGAAATCAATCCTGTGAGACCTGAGAAAAAGTGGTAACAGACAAAAAAAAATAATAATAATAAAAAAAAACGTCGTAGTAATATTAATACCATCTCAGCTTTGCATCAAAGCTAAAAAATTTAATTTTATTCTATACTTTTTTATGAAAAAATCATTATTTAACGAAAAATAAGGGGTAGTATATTTAATAAATTGCACTGTATAAAATTTATTTTATGATCTCTTAAATTGTATTTTGTGTTAAGTAAAGTTGGATAAGTTCTAATTCAGAAAAGTTAACGTAACTATAATTTTCTTGTTGTGAGATTTATTAAAAATTGAGAATAAAAATATATGTAAAATTATTGTGAGGAACACTGAATATTTTTGGTCATAATTCGTGTGCATATATTTTTATGATCTTATTTATTATTATTTTTTCAAAATCAATATTGGCTGTACTATTTTTGTGTAGAGAGAAAAAATCATATGCAATGTATCAGGTATGTACATAATTATGAATATTTTTAAATAAATTTATAATTACGTATCCACTACTAGAATGACAGTAACCAATAGATTCAACCAATGTAATGCATTGTTCCTTATTTAATACGCAATCGTTGTCTGTATCAAGATTACTGAATTTATTTGAGATTATTTGAAACTCATTTATATCAAGTTTTTCTATCTAAAGAATAAAAACTAATTTAATAAATAAGTCATATATAAAGGCTAATAAACTAATTATTATGTGATTTTACACTTTTGTCATCGCCTCTCTTTTTAATTCTAGCCAAAAAATTCAAAATCTTGAAAATTCTTACACTTACTGGATCTATAAAATATGAATATCTTAAATAGAGTGTATTTAAAATTTCATGTTTTTTTAATAATTTTTCTCAAAACATAATGAAAATATAAAAATGTGTTTCAAGAAAAAGTTTTTATCATATCTTATTACATTCAAATTTATTAAAACGTAATTTTTAAAATCAGTTGTAGGGTGTTTAAAGAAATTAGGTTTACAAAATTTAATGGAAATACGTTAATAAAATAATTTTTCAACTCTTTCTATTTCAAAGAAAATTAAATTTTTAGTATTATTTTAGAATATAAGAAAAATTCAGTTACACAGGATAACATTTGTAAACTTTTGTTGTTCGGAATTGCATAATGCTGTAATATTTAATAAAAATTAGGATGCAAAAACTCAGTGTAGTAGTATAAATACTAATGGTAGTTCTAGGTTAAATGTTCTGAGAGAGCACCAAATATTACAGGAGCATAATTAAAAACATAAGTAAATTTACACCATTTACTTCTTATTTATGTTGAAACGTTACACATATTGTAAAAAAAAAACATTTTCGTATTANGAGATAATGTATTATAGAACCACAACAGGTTAAAACAAAAAAATTGAAAATTAAACATCATCAATTTAATATTTTTTGAATAACAATAAAAATAAAAAACGGTAGCACAGTGTGGACGGGGCAAGTATAGATGATATCTAACAGTGATTAACATTACTATCATAAGAAACGATTCGATGCAAATCAGTAGATAGTGTTTAATTCTAAGAAATTGGTAGATTATTTCATAAGCAACAATAACTTATTTCTTTTATTATATCCTGATTAGTGGTTCATTAATTTATAAATATAATATATGAATAAATAATAATTATAGTTATTAAATTTAGTATAAAAATGATATTCAATAATTTAATATTGTAATTATTACGGAGAAATTATAAAAATAATAAAGTTGTTGTATACTTCTTTACTTTTAACGCGTATAAAAATTTAAATGGCTTGACGCAATACTTTTCAATAAAAACTGTATGTTACTTATAAATAAATACACTGGACTACATAGAACTAAGTTCAGAAGAAAAAATATAATTTTCTTTTTCAACTTTTTGCACTGTTATCAAAAGTTAAGTTGATAAAGTTCTACTTTCTATACGCATATTTAAAGGATAGTTTTACCTTTTGTATAAAGGGAAATCGTCCAATTTAAATAAAAAATAGGTCAAATGATAGAAGTATATAAATAGTATTTCTCATAAAAAAATTGTGTTGATCCATACAATTTTCAATAAGTTATAGCATTATAAAGTTAAAAATGCAAAAAATAAAATCGAGAATTTTCACATGAAAATAGCATTCGGTAGTCATTTTCACCACGAAGACAAAATANTTTTTATAAACTTTGATGTCTGTTTTCACCATGAAGATAAAATAAAGTCCGAATTTTTTTTTTCCATAATAAAGTATATTACATTAACTTTAATTTAAGATATACATAAAAGTGTCAGTATTTCCGGAACACTTCCAAAAATTAAGTTGAAAAAGTTCTACTTTCAACATGCATTTTTTAGATTTGAACCCCCCTCGTATATAGGAAAATGGTCGGATTTAAAAAACCAGTATGTCAAATGAAAGATATATATAAATACTACTTCTCATGTAAAAATTGTATTNGATGTATATAAATACTACTTCTCATGAAAAAATTGTATTGATCCATACATTTTTTAAAAAGTTATAGCACTTTAAAGTAAAAAATGTAAATTATAAAATCGAGAATTTTCACACAAAAATAGCATTCGATAGCCATTTTCGCCATGAAGACAAGTCCAGAGGTCAAATTTTTTTTTTTCACATTAAAGTATATTACATTAGCTTTAATTTAAGATATATATAAAAGTGTCAGACCTTCCGGAACATTTTCAAAAGTTAAGTTGAAAAAGTAAATTTGTTGTGAAAAAGTTGTCATTTTAAATCCCCACCTAGTAAAGACATCAAGCATCTATATAAAAAAAAATTATATTGATATGTTTATTTTTGAAAAAGTTAGAGAATTATTAAGTTAAAAATATTTAAAAAAATAATTTTACAAAAATCGTATTTTTTTATTAACTTTGATGTCAACTTTCACCACGAAGACAAGTCCAGAGGTCAAATTTTTTTTTTTTTAAATTAAATTATATTACATAAGCTTCAATTTAAGGCATATATAAAAGTGTCAGACCTTCCGGAACACTTTCAAAAGTTAAGTAGAAAAAGTTCTACTTTTTATATGCATTTTTTATATTTGAAGCCCCCCCACATATAGGGAAATAGTCTGATTTATAACAACAATACACCAAATGATAAGCGATGATATCATGCATCTATGTAAAAAAAACTATATTGTATGTTCATTTTTGAAAAAGTTATGGCACTTTTAAGTAAAAAAATTTTTAAAAAATATGAAAATTAGTGATTTTAAATTTGTAATTTTTTTAGAGGTTTCCCCCATTTACGGGGAACGAGGGAATTTTTTTCAATTTTTAAGGGTAATGTCTTCAACTAGATACGATTTGTGATCTTTTGACGTATTTCCGGAACACTTTCAAAAGTTTATTTGAAAAAGTTAATTTTTATTGGAAAAGTTTCTATTTTAAAACCCTCCTGTGGGTACGTAAAAGATCAAATGTTCACAAAAATTTATCAAATGTTAGGTGAATACCCAAATGCTTGGTTTGTTCATTTTTAAAAAAATTATTGCTGTTTAAAAAAAAAAATTGAAAAAATCTTGAAAGTAATCGATTTTTAAAATTTCAATTCTTTGGGGAATTTCACCTTTTACGGGAAACGAGAGAATTATTTTCAATTTTTTATGGTAATGTCTTCGACTAAATACTATTTGTAAGCTTTTTACGTATTGTTTATCAAAATCGGACCAGTGAGAACTGATTTATAGTGGTAACAGACAAAAAAAAATACATCATTGTAAAATTAATACCTTCTCAGCTTTGCATCTAAGCTAAAAAATTATTTAAAAATACGAAAAAATTTTTAGCTTCGATGCGAAGCGGAGAAGGTATTAATTTTACTATGATGTGTATTTTTTTTTTTTTTTTTTTTTTTTTTTTTTTTTTCCCCTTTTTTTCCCACC